TCTATTCACACAGAGCAAAGTTCAGCTAGGAAGGGGATTAACTTCAAATTTGCTAGGTAGCTAAGAAAAAGCAGGTGTTTAAGTTACTGGGATAGTTTTGGGTTTTTCTTCTGGAAATTAAAACAAAATTTGAATTGAGAATGGGAAGTCAGATTTAGAAAACATTTATATATTTTCCAATTAAAGTCTTTAATTAAAGTTAAATTTTTCTCTCTAAATTATCAATTATTATTATTATAAATATATTCATTAGCATTTTTGGACAATAAATAATCCAACATGTAAAGAAACAATGTGCATGAATATGTTTCTTGAATCATTGTTCAAAATAGAAAACATTTAGGAAACTTAAATATCCCATAGGTGAATAGATAAGTTATGAGATTCGACCCAAAGGCCATTTTAAGCAGTTATGAAGACTCTGAAGCAACATGAACTATGCTTATGGGAAAATTACAAAAGAAAATTCGATGATATTATTGAAAAATAAAAAGGAGAAAAAAACAGTATATGAAGATTGTATGTATTAATTTCAGGTATACTTATTTCATAACTTTTGAAATCTTTATAATGTGGCTATAAATTTATTAGTTTAATTTGAAGTAATATATTTAAAAAGTTTGTTTTTATACCAAAGAGAGACTGAAAACCTTGCTGATAAAATCTAAAGGAAACCAGAAAGTTTAGTTTCTTTTTAGACTATGAGTTTAAATAAAAACTGGTTCTGCAAATATCCTTTTGAACTCCATGATCCCCTGCCCCTCCCCAATTTTACAACACTTAAAGGTTTGAATAAGCCTACAACATGTAATTTATTCTTCTGTAACACTATCCCATCATTTTTTTCTAATCTTTCTTTTTAAAATAAATAGAAATAAGCAAACAAATCTAGAGCTAGCAAAGAAGCACTATAGATAATGACAGACATATATAGTGTTCTTTTGTTAGCTGCAAAAGAACTAGTGAAAACTCAATTTAGCAAATTCGAAGAGGGTTTACAGTCATAAAATTTTCCTAATTGAAGTTTAAACTATAATACTTTCTTTATGGCCATCATCTTTGAAACACTTGGCAATTACAAATCTTAACAAGGTGTATATTCTTTAGTTGCCATGAACAAAAGTAATAAATCTATTATCTAAATGGAATGCATAAATTCATAAAAGGTAAAAATGAAGCATTTACATTTTAAGGTGTGGAGAAAAGAGGAAACCTTATTTTATGGAAGTATGGGACAGAATTAAAACCATGAAAATCACTTTTTAAGTTATTGTGAATATCTTAAATTTAGAACTAGAGCCTTTCCTTTCTCATTATTTTTGCACTATTAAGCAATTTTGCTTTTCTTCTGGGGATACAGAGTCATCAGCATCATCTTATACTGAGCCAGCAGCGGTCCTAGTTGAATATAGACCTTAATCAACAAGTATCTGAAAAAGTGCTTCTCTTCTATGTGCCTACTAATCATCTAGGAACAGAATTAAAAATATGGATTCTAGTTCAGTAGGTATAGGATGAATTTTAAAGTGATGGATTCCTAATAAACTCCCAGGTTATGCAATGCAATTGTTCCAGAGGTTAATCTTTGACTAGCACTAATCCAGATTACCCAAAGGCAAAGTTGCATGCCTTTGTGAAAGTGAAAGACAAATGACCAAGGTGGACTGTAGAGCACCTGACTAATGTAAATCGAGCAGCTGTGACTGAGCTCTAGCTGATGGCTGGTGTTGGAGACCCAATGTTGCCTGAGAATAAAGTAAGAACTTAAAGTATCTAGTTCAGTGGCTGGTACAAGGTAGGTGCTCAACTTTTTTCCTCTTTTTTCTATACAAATAATTTCCAAATGAAACTATTAGAAAACATGACCAAATAACATCTCAGTATTTTATACTGACAAAATCGAATGCAGATTAGAGAATAGGCCAATGGGTGTAATGTAGTGTGCAGAAGACATTGCTTACCACATCTGAAATCATTGTTACTTTTTAAAGATTGACTCTAACCAAAAACACCTGAAAGATTAACTTTGCATAAGAGAAAGAAGTAACTGGTAAGTTAAATGTGGCGGTGAGGGGTTAGATGGAGAGTCAGTCAGAACTGGACTATGAAGCTAAGCAAATAGGGCTAAGAAGGAGGGTTGTTGGAGTAACATGCCTTTTATGGGGAAAGAAGTCCTTGAGAAGTTTCCAAAGATCGGAATGCCCAAAAGACTTCAGACCAGAGGTGTTAATCATTCAATTCTAAGTTATTTGTCATGCTATAGACTAAATGACATAAATCTTCTCTATCGCCCTAAGGAAATGTGTTCTGGACACATACAGCCTTTTGTAGGAAGTGCTTTGGGGTGTGGAGGATTCTAGGTGATGTCTAGCCTGATAGTAATGTGTTGCAGAGAAAGGGCAGCATATACAGAAGGCAAGACAAGA